AGCCGTTTGATGTCAAAAAAAAAAAAAAAAAAAAAACACACTTAAAGTTTATTTCTCCAAGTAATAACCGGATATAATATATAGATACAACTGTTTTTTTTTGTGAAACAAAAATACACTACAACAACCCTACATATATACATATGTAGTATTCTATATCAAAAGGTTTATTTTCTTATAAATTATCTACTGGAATGGCTTTATGTGTACTCAAATTATTGAAGCTGAGCAAAAGTTACATAAAGTTGTTATCCTTATGAGATTCCATTACCATAATGATCATTTTTGTCATTGATGAATCACTATTGGCTTTGATTTTTTTTTTTCTGCCTAATGCCTCTTTTTTTTCCTAAGGTCAGGACATCACAGAACCAAACAAGCTATCATATCAATATACCAGATGGAAAGCTTGGTAGTTCCTTGTCAAGAAATTCAAATAAAAATCGATTACCCGACATCCAGAAGGAAAAGGAGATATACTAACCTCGCTGATGCCGAGCCCATTGTTCTGATGTCTGTTTTAAGTAGTCTCCACGCTGGATATTTCAGAATAAGCCTTTCACTTTGTAGCCAAGCTTTATTGTGGAAGACAATGGTCCATTTGCATAGCGATCTCCCGTCTATGGCGTCTTATCTCCTGTGGTATCTAGCACTTGCAACACAAGTATCACTCTGTTTTCTGTATACCTTCAAGTGTATTTTCTTCTTTAACTTGGTGAAGGAGGAGTTCACACATTATATTGGAGTGAACTATCTTTACGCACCTTCCATTTCATGCCTTCTCTTGCTTCAGTCAGCTCCTATGCTGGAACCACACAGTGTTTTATATCAGACACTATTCTGGTTGTTTGCTGCTCCGGTCTTGACCCTCGACACAAAGCTTTATGGCCAATGGTTCACAACAGAAAAGAGGTTTTTGTCGATAATGGCAAACCCGGCAAGCCAAGTATCAGTTATAGCAAACCTAGTGGCTGCAAGGGGAGCAGCAGAGATGGGTTGGAGAGAGTGTGCGTTATGCTTGTTCTCTCTAGGGATGGTTCACTATTTAGTAATATTTGTTACACTTTATCAACGCTTACCAGGTGGAAACAACTTCCCAACCACGTTAAGGCCAGTGTTCTTCTTGTTCTTTGCTGCACCAGCCACGGGAAGTCTAGCTTGGAACTCTATATGTGGAACCTTCGATACAGTAGCGAAGATGTTATTCTTCCTTTCACTCTTCATCTTCGTATCCCTAGTAAGTTTCCACAAGACCGTTCCTAAAATTTTGGGGCTATAGGTACTTTAGTCAAAATTTTAATACAAAAAAAAGTTGAGAGCCTATATTTATGTAAATTATTTCTTAACTTTGGGATTATAGTTCAATGTTTCACTGACCTATGTCTACCAACAGCTCTGAGTTTTCTAGACGCTAAGAAAATAAAACCATATTTAGACATTTACCTGTTTTTGTTTAATTAACATTTTCAGGTTTGTAGGCCAACTCTTTTGAAGAAGTCGATAAAAAGATTCAATGTTGCATGGTGGGCTTACTCGTTCCCAATCACTTTTCTTGCTTTGGACTCGGTTCAGTATGCGCAAGAGGTGAAATACCACGTCGCTTCTGCATTGATGTTTTTATTCTCTTCCATCTCAGTTTTGATTTTCCTCGGTGTAATGTTGCTGACAGCAGCAAACAGCAAAAGACTGCTCAGACGTGATCCTGTCCTCTGGTCTGCTACTGGTCCAAAAGACAAATTAAGAAAAATCTTAGTCGGTTAATCCGAGTTTTGTAAAATACATACAGTATGTGGGATACAAAAAAATTTAGCAGCGTAAGAATTATAGATAAATAAAATATATCTGCAATAGTCTATTTGATTAGTATCAGCTCTGATTAGTGGTTTGATTTATTTGTATAAGATAAATATGATACAAATCTTTTATTTTAGTTTAGAGAGAATGCGATTTATGGTAAGGTAACCGTAGTAGAAGTCAGAGCATACAGAGAGTTCAGTTTACAAGAAATAGGTTTTTTATTAACACTTGTATAAGTATACTATTATAAATTATGAAAAATATTAAATATACGTTTCCATATCCAACAATTCAATATATTGTATGAGAATTATGTCTCTCTGCATCACTTCAAACTGTCTTATGAGATTTTATATCTTATGGTACTCTTTACATCACGTAATTCTTTTTTTGTAAAAATCTAAAACCAGGATGTAGAAATATTTATGAAGTCTTATAATTGGAGTAATTCAAAGCTCGTTTTTTTTTGTATAAATTATCTTTTCTCATTTAATATGTGTAATTCATAGCTCGTTTCTTATAACCACTAGAATAAGAAACGAGCTTTATAATTGAGTACATCGCATTATCTCATTTTCCTTTGCTAGTTTTATGGGTTTCTCAAAATTAGCGGTAGCTGAAATCTTTTAAATGAATCGATTTTAAAACAATAAAAAAATGAAAATTATCATTGATATTTTTAAAAATTTCTGTTAAGAACATACGAATAGAATCCAAGTACCAAATTTACCATGCAGCTGGTTCAAAATCAACATGATGCTCCTACATCAGATGATCATGCCATATGGAACCATTTGACCAAAATAAATTCTGATTTTCGTTTGTGATCATTATGAAATTGTTTATGATTTAACTCAATATCAACCACGACTATAGCTACTCTATTGGGGCTCACTTCACTAGAGACGTGACCATGATAAACCTTTAGGTCTTTGATCAAAAAAAAAAACCCTTAGGTCATACATATAGAAACAAATAAAATACACGTGACTAACAATATATTGGTTGATTGATAAGTGATGTAGATGTTTTAGACAGTTATTTCTTTTTCTAGAGTATTTCTCTAAAAACAATCAAATTTTATTTTTAAAAATTAAAATTACAGTAAAAAATTTTAAAAAACAAAAGTTTTAGCTTTCAAAATCAATTTTTTCTACAGTTTTTATTTATTATTTTTTGAATTGAAATGTTAAGTTTAAACTCAAAAAAAAACTTTGCATCAATTGTTTTTTGAGTTTTAATTCATAAAATACATAATCTCTCAAATCATAAGCTATTTCCTCTACATTAAGCTATAAACAAAACTCTATTTTGTGCTAAACCATAAGGCCATTCCCCCTTCATATTCTTTATCTCCTTTTTGCTTAATAATGATGAATTTGTTCCTTATCTTCTTGTCTATCCTCTTCACAAGAAGAAAGTGTGGTGACGGATCTTTCCCATGTCATCTCTTATTTTTCTCCTTCCATATAGCATGAACTGCTGATTGGAAAACATGTCTTGTAATATAGAGGTTATAATTGTTCCAGGTTGAGGTAATTGACAAGAGTCTAATGAGATCATCCCACTCTATCGTATACCTATCACCCATCACACCTCTTACAAGCATTTCTCATATCTGTTTGGAATACACACAGTCAAAAAACAGATGTTCCCTTGTCTCCAAAAGCTCTTGAAAAAACCCACAAGAAACATCAGCATTTGCATTCCAACATCAAACTCGATCACCAGTAGAGAGTCTCCCATGAATCGCAGTCCAAAGTATAAAAGAGTACCTTTGAGTAGCATATTGAAACCACACAGCATCATGCCAATCACACAAGGGGTGCTTCTCCCTTTATGTAAGCCAAGTTTCTCTTGTCGAGAACACTTTCTTATACTTCCCTTTCTTATTTCTCCACACAAATATATCATTCTCCTACACCCAATTGGCTTTATATTTCTCTATTTCCAACTCCACCCTATTTAGAAGCGTGTTGATGCCTTCTTCTATGATTCCGACAAGCTTTAAAATTTGCATTAATTGAAATCCCCAAATCAATGCGCCCTCGACCGCTCAAAACCTCCTGAAGCCGGCCTAAGGAGACCACATCTAAAACCAAAAGGAAGACTTCAGACCATCTTTTACCTCCACTCTGTAAAATAACTTTGCTTTATCTCGACATTTTAAGAGTTTCTTCCACATCCAAGAGCCACTCTGAGTGTTTTCCTTCACCCCCCCCATATAGAACCCTTTCAAATAAGATAGCTTTTGATCCAGTTAACCCAAAGAGACTGAGAAGACAAGATCCTCCAAATCAACTTTATACAACACACCAAATTAACCTCCTGCTTTGATCTACATATATCTTTCCAAGCAATCTTGTTCTTCCTGCCATTTAAATTCAGTCCAGACCAAAGGAAAGCCGAGCAGATTCCCTCTATCTCTTTAATACACCCACTTGGGAGCCTAAATGAAGCCATCCAAAAATTTGTAAGACTCATTATTACAGACTGTATGAGTTGTAATCTACCATCATAGGAAAGAAACCTCCCAGTCCAAGAACCAATTCTTTTCCTAATCTTCTAAATAAGTGGTAAATAATCTGTGATGGTCATCCGTTTAGTAAGTAAAAGGAGACCCAAGTAACGTACCGGGAGTGCTCTTGTTGCAAATTGAAACCGACTCTGGATGTCATCTCTTTACTGAGTAGAGTTTCCCATAAAGAAGAGAACAGATTTCTCCATACTAATCTTCAACCCACTCATTCTGTCAAACTCTTCAAACACTCTCAAGATACCTTCTATATAATTTACTGTCCCATCTGCAAATACCATCAAATCATCAGCAAAACATAGATGAGTAAGATCAATATTCTTGCACTTTAGATAGTAACCAATATCCCCTTTATCCACCACTTTATCAATCATTTTAGATAGGACACTCATGCATATTACAAATAGATAAGGTGACAAAGCACAGCCCTGTCTAAGCCTTCTTCTGCTTTGAAAGTAACCAGCCTATTCTCCATTAACTTGAACTGAGAACGATGGCGACGTTACACACAGAAAGATCCACTTGATAAATTTCCCCGGAAACCCCAAAGCTTGCAACGTATTCAACAAAAATGGCCATTGAACTGAATCAAAATATTTAGAAATATCAATTTGCAAAGCACACTTAGGAGAGATATTTTCGTTATGATAGGCCTTCACCAACTCAGAAGCTAACAAAACATTCTCCATCAGTAATCTCTCTTTAACAAATGCAGATTGATTAAGAGATATACACTTCAGCACAATATCCTTCAATCTATTTGCAATGAGCTTAGAGATTACCTTGTATAAAACGTAGCAACAAGAATGAGTCAGTAATCTTTCATCATCTTTGCTTCCTCTTTATTTGGTATGAGAGCCAAGATGGTTTAGTTTAAACTTTTAGGCAGAAAACCATTGACAAAGAAATATTGAACTGCACAATGGTTACATCTTCTCCAATTACTGACCAAGCCTCTTAATTTGAAAAACTCCGAAGTATATCCATCAGGTCCCAGAACTTTACTTGTAGGCATCTTGAACAACACCTCCTTCATTTCCTCGTTTGTTATCTCCCTCTCGAGTTTAGCACAATTTATATTACTGCACTGAAAACCCAACAGATCTGTAAGTCTTTCTACAATGGCTCCTTCAAAATCTTGAGGAAGCTTTTGCATAAAATCCATGAAAAACCCCTCTGCTTCCTTTTTAATCTCCTCTTCCGTTTTAGCAAAGGTACCATCTGCTCTCTGGATCTCGTTAATAGCATTTCGAACCTCCCTTATTTTAGCAAAGCTATGGAAAAATTTGTTGTTTCCATTTCCTACATCCAACCCGTGAACCTTTGAAATCTGCTTGAGAAAATCTTCTTCAGGTTCAACCAACCTTTGCCCTTTTTGGTATGTTAAGGACTCCTCATGTATAGCTTCACTTGATGGGTTTTCCAGTGCTTCCCTCTGCTTAGCACAAAGAATCTTGTATGCCTCTCTAGTTCTTTTAGGTAAAAGCATCATATTCCCTCCATTGATTATCCATAAGAGTTTTGAACTCTGGCATTTTAAAATTGCATTTGTAAACTTAAAAGGTCTTCTTTTCTTATTACCCTCTATCTCTAACTGAATTCTACACCTCGTATGATCCGAGCATCCACCTGCTTCAAACACAAAATACGCTGGATCATTATGTAGCCACTCTTGATTAACTAAAACTATGTCCAAATTCTTGCAAATCAACCCATTCTCCCTTTAGCTACACTAAGTGAAGAGTGGTCCCTGATATCTCATATCTGTTAATTTGCAATAGTGAGCAACATCTTGAAAGCCCCTCATACCCAATGGTATTCTTGGAGATTCTTCAAAACCTAAGTGCTCCTTACCCTCCAAAATCTCATTGTAGTCTCCCATAAGCATCCATTTCTTGTTTCTAAACATGGGTGCATCATGAGGATTTCTCAACTCCTCCCATAAGCTTTTTCTCTCCTCCATAGTATTCAAAGCGTAGATGAAGGAGCAGAAGAATTCCTTATCCCTCCCTAGTAAAAGCAATGAACATGTTATAACTTAAGCACTTTTATACACCGGGGTTAGCCTCACAGTCGGTCTCCATACCACCCACGAACGAACCAACCGATTGAACTCATAATTTGACATAAAATTCCACCCTGCAAAAACCTCCTCCGCAATCCTCTCTGCTTTCTTCTTCTTAACCCTTGTTTCAATTAGACATCCAAAATTTAAAAGTTGATCACTAACCCATTTTCTCACGACTGCTTGCTTGGTTGTTTTGTTCAAACCTCTCACGTTCCAAAAGAACTCCACCATTAATAATGATTTTTACGAGAACCTCTTTTCAAAACTCCAAGATTTTTATCTTCGGCTTGAATTGAAATCTCAGATGGAAAAACTCTGTGGCTGGTATTTGACAATCTAGGAGGCATTTGCCTTGTATTACCTCATTCACTCTCTTCAAATTTTTTAAGAGCAGTTACTATCATCTTCCCCATTTTCTCAAGAGTTACTTAAAGCTGCATATCTCGATGGAGTAGCAATCATCACTTGACCATATTTCAGGTTTTGTGACTTTGGAGTTCGACTTGTTTTCTCCTGTAGAACCCTTTCCTAATCATTTGTTTCTTCATCTTCTTTCTCATTTATATTCTCATTTTGTCCTACCATATTTCCCTCTCCTTATAAGACCTCATTACCAACCTCATCCATCTCATCACCACTACCTTTACCATCACCAGAACTCTTCTTTGGAGTTCCTTCTGCAATTTTCTTCTCATTTACTTCCTTTTGATCTTTTTTGCAGAATGTGACATAGTGACCCCATATATCACATGTAGTACATCTCAGAGGAAGCCATAGATAGGTGAAATCAACTATTGTTTCTTTCCCCTGAATAGTATAGTCGATTCTCTTAGGTAACTCTTCTGATAAATCTGCCTTCACAAACACTTTAGGTACTTCAAAATCACTGCAGAGCGACTGTCTCTGAATGAAAATGATATGGAGTTCCTGCTGCACTAATAATGAAGCTTAAACCTTCCCACGAATACATACTCATGGATACATTCGTCACATGAACCCAAAGAGAAATTAGATTCGCCTTTGATAGATCCTCATCAGGAGACCACTTCATAACCACCATAGGTACACCATGAATGTTCCACATACCCCTCTTGATTACCTTATATCGTACCTTTGTGTACGTGATTCTGACTCGCATCGTAGTAGAATCCATTTCGTATGCATCCATTTTCTGATCTTCATCTCCAAACGTCCATATCTTATTCAAAATCATGTGAACTTTCACAATATGTGGAGCCGTCTCCAGAAACCTCGCAATAACGAAATATTTTCCAAAGAGGATTTGATTTTTTAACGATCTCCGACGATACCTCAACTAATTGCTTGCCATCTGAGCTTAATATGTAAAAACCGTACTTCTATAGAGCATGTTTCTTCTGCGCCACCGCAATCCACGATTGCGGCGGAGCAATAGGTGGAGGAGGATCACCTTGAACCTCCATAGAAATTCATCACAGCCACCGGAGGAGACTGCATTGATTGGAAATTCCGATCATCTTCGTAATCGCCAAAATCACTTTTGCGAGCAAAAGGTCAGCCATGACCAATTCAGTTAGCTAGGTTGTTAATTGAAATAACTATTCACACAGTTTTTATTTAGTGTTTTGAAATAAAAATGTGAAACAAAATAATCAAAATCAAAGCAAAAAAATTTGCAGTTTATTTTTTAAAGCAAAAATAAACTAAGTCTACATACATGCACCAACCAATCAACCACATAGATTTGATTAAGTTCTAGACCAGGATTTTAAACCGGGTTTGCCTCGAGTCTAAATCAAACTATCCCCGGTTTAGACATCGTAAACCGGATACTTTTCCTTACCATCATCTTCACCAAATTCACCCAGACTCAAATTCAAAGCATCGTCTCCGCCGTCGACGACGAGGATGAGCCGATCACGCGGTATCTTATTGATCCTCAGGAAGGCCCATCGACCATCGTGTCTTAAATGCACATATGCAAACTCTTTCTCGTCTTCTTCGTCTCCCTCAAGCTTAGGATTCCGAGCCACGAACAAGGAGTTAAACCAGATGATACGATCAGGCTACATCACCGAAGCTAGAAAAATATTCGAGAAACTAGAGGCGAGAAACACAGTGACGTGGAACACAATGATAAGCGGGTACGTAAAAAGAAGAGAAATGACTCACGCACGTAACCTGTTCGACGAAATGCCTGAGAGAGACGTCGTCACTTACAACGCCATGATCTCGGGGTACGTTTCTTGCGGGTTTCTCGAGGAAGCACGGAAGCTGTTCGATGAAATGCTTAAAAGAGATTCCTTTACGTGGAACACGATGATTAGTGGTTACGCTAAGAATAGGAAGATAGGTGAAGCTCTGTTGCTGTTCGAGAGAATGCCTGAGAGAAACGCGGTTTCGTTTAGCGCTATGATCACTGGTTTTTGCTTGAACGGTGAAGCGGGTCGCGGGGTTGAGTTGTTTATGAGAATGCCTGAGAAGGATTCTGCTTGTTTATGTGCACTTGTGTCTGGTTTGATTAAGAACGAGGAGATGGAAGAAGCGGCGCGGGTTTTGACTCAGTATGGTTGTATAGATTCTGGAAAGGAAGATTTGGTTTTTGCTTATAATACTTTGATTGTAGGGTACGGACAGAGAGGGAAAGTGGAAGAAGCTCGGCGTCTGTTTGATCAGATTCCTGAACTTTGTAGAAACTTCGTGTCGTGGAACTCAATGATCAAAGCATACTTGAAAGCCAGTGATTTGGTCTCTGCTCGGTTGTTGTTCGATGAGATGAGAGACAGAGATACCATTTCTTGGAACACAATGATCGATGGGTATGTACATGTGTCTATGATGGATGAAGCTTTGTATCTGTTCTCGGAGATGCCGAACAGAGATACACATTCGTGGAACATGATGGTGTCTGGTTATGCTAGTGTTGGTGATTTAGAGCTAGCTCGTGGTTACTTTGAAAGAACGCCTGAGAAAAACATAGTTTCGTGGAACTCGATTATAGCAGCTTATGAGAAGAACAAGGATTACAAAGAAGCTGTTGATGTGTTTCTGAGAATGAACATTGAAGGAGAGAAGCCTGACCCACATACTCTAACTTCTCTTCTCAGTGTCTCAACAGGGCTTGTGAATCTGCGGTTAGGAATCCAGATGCACCAAATCGTGCTCAAGACTGTGATCCCTGACGTGCCAGTCCACAATGCTCTTATCACTATGTATTCTAGATGCGGGGATATAATGGATTCGAGGAGAATCTTTGATGAAATGAGAGTAAAAAGAGAAGTGATCACATGGAATGCAATGATAGGAGGGTATGCTTTTCATGGTAATGCTTCAGAGGCTTTGAATCTGTTCTGGTCAATGAAACACAACGGGATACATCCTTCACATATAACATTTGTCTCGGTTCTGAACGCGTGTGCTCATGCGGGACTAGTTGATGAGGCTAGAGCACAGTTTATGTCCATGGTAAGTGAGTACAAGATCCAGCCTCAGATGGAACATTATTCTTCACTGGTCGATGTAATCAGTAGACAAGGGCAGTTTGAGGAGTCCATGGATGTGATAAATAGTATGCCTTTTGAGGCGGATAAGACTGTATGGGGTGCGTTGTTGGATGCTTGTAGGATTTATAGCAATGTTGGGCTTGCACATGCTGCAGCTGAAGCAATGTCGAGACTTGAACCAGAGAGCTCGACACCTTATGTACTGTTGTATAACATGTATGCTGACATGGGACTATGGGATGAAGCTTCTCAAGTGAGAGTGACGATGGAGAGTAAGAGAATTAAAAAGGAAAGAGCATCAAGTTGGGTTTGATCCCATTGGTCAGATAAGAAACTGGTTTCAATACTATTGGAGCTGCAAGAAGAAGCCTATGGAGTTTCGAATCAGAGGAGAAAGAAGAACAAGGAAAACACATGTCACTGGAGAGAAACATTAAACTTCTTCTCTCCATCTAGAGAAGAGCGGACGAAGTCTATGATGATCAAGATTGTTGTTGATAATATGATATGATCGTAGCAGAGTAGTGACATGGTCTTGTGCTTCTCTGAATAGTGATTAGGAGAATCTTGACACTTTTCGAAAGATCAGAGCGTTTGATTTCCTTTCTTAGCTCATACATGATCCCAATTTTAGCTAATCCTCAACTCATTCGGGATTTTATTTTTGATTTTACTTGTAGAGATCTCTAAATATTATAATCAATAGTAAAATAGAGGTTCGTTTCAAATTTGTGTTGGAACATGTAAGCTGTGTTTCTATGTTAGAACATCAGTTTTTTAGAATCTTATACATTATATTTTCTTAAGTACTTGTGTTCTTCAAGAAAAGCTTATCTCTTTTTGCTTTAATGGAGTTGTTTATTTCTCTGTTTTATGATTTCTTTTGTTATGTGGCAAATCAGGGCATCGCTTCATTGATATGGTTAAGAAATGTTAGCTGCGTGTCTTAGCTGATTTGGTCGTCGAGATGTCTTCTAGGCGTTCCAAATTTTTACTCCCATCACGTAACTTTTATTTTTGTTTTAATGCAAAACTGTAGTGAATGTAAACCTTTTGAAGTTTCACTTATTCGTTGAGAAATCTTCCTGTTGTTGAAGCATAAATCAAGTGTATCCCAATTTTATATAGATTTTTATATTTAATCAGAAAAAAATCTCAGATGAAAATAACTTTAAAATTGGATTTCTCAGATGAAAATAACTTTAAAATTGGATTTAATTACTAGAAAACTATAAATACAATTAGCTAAAGCTGTGGACAAGTGATCCTGGAGTAAATGAAAATAACTAATTATGTTTTCTCACGGCACCAGAATACTCTTACGTTTGGCAAATAACTAATTAAATATTTGACAGACATAAAATCACATGGGTACGTACCTTTTATTTTGACATCTTGGTAGACTTGACTATTAGTTGTAAAAATATTAACTAAGCATTGAAGCATGTATGTATCTTGTAAGAAATGTTCAAGTCTATCTATGTATATAAAGAAGCTGAAATGTGGGTAGAAGATACAACTCATCAAGTAAATAAAGGAAAAGAAAATAAGACATAGAAGATGAATGCCACAAAGTTTGTTGTGCTTTTGATCTTTGTGGGAGTTGTGTGTGCCAATGTTGGCGCAAGGCAGCTCGAGGAAGTGTCCAAAGAGACAAAATTAGGCATCTCTATTCCCAAAACTGTCACTACCAACGGCTTAGGAGCTGAGCTTGGCACCGTTATTGTTGACACTTATGCCACCAATAACGAAAATTCCGATGCTAGTGCCGCTGCAGGTCCCCGTGGTCCCAGCGCAGACACATCTGGAAGCGTCTATAAATCTACATATGGATATGTCCGTGCAGAAGGTCCCAACGCACGCGCTGATTCTATCAGTTACGCTGCCGGTGGCACCACTTCTGGTGCTGCAGCGGGTCCCAATGGTGCTGGGGGCAGTTCAACAGCTCAGGGAGTTGCATACAGCAATGGTAGCGGCGACACCGACTAAATATATACTCTACAAACCCCCATCACAATCTCTTTTGTATTCATAAATAAAACCAGAGATTGTCACCTTTATTATACATGATATGATAATGTACACGCTATTTATGCGTAATGTGTGATATAAATACAGTAATTACGACTATATGCGTATGTTTTTTGCATGGTTATCGATGAAAAGATATACCACCTTGGTTTGGCGTCATATATCCCTTCATCTAAATGATAGGCTTAGCTGCCGGAGATCGAACGAATGTTTTTCAGGCGTCATCCAAATGATAGACTTGTTGACCCAAAACTCATAATGCAAGCAACATGTATGTACAAACAATCGTGAGACTAGGAACAAAACTGCTATTACTATATTACAAGTTCTCGTTGCTATAACTTGATGCCCACCAAATTATTATTGGAGGAGCCTAGGAAGTATTGTAATCTCGGATGCTCAAAGTAAAGAGTCCACATATTTATGTTCTGTTCCAGACTGTTTTGTCAATAAGCAGGGTCATCTCATCTGAGATTTCTGAGTTCCTTTGTGTCTTGTAATCAAGGCTAAGAAACTTGCAACTAATTGGACAGATAATAGGGTCTTAGCTAAAACAATGTAATTTTATCGCCTACACACGATCTTTAGATTCAAACGTCCATAAAATCCACGATCATTTGATCATAGCCATCTTTATTCATTTGTAATACTAGTGTCAAAACGTATTCTGGATGTCGTAGACATGTCTTTCAGGCGTTCCCATTACTCCCCAAGTCTAAAATCTGTAATATGATTTCATTTCAAGTGTTATTCGATTATTGGAACTTTTATAAATCTTTTTAATGCAAAACTGTAGTGAATGTAAACCTTTTTTAGTTTTCACACATTTTTTTGAGAAATCTACGTATTGTTGAATCATAAATCAAGTGTATCCCAATTTTATATGATCTTTTTATATTTATTCAAATTTTCTTTGATGAAAATAACTTTTGAAAGTTATAATTACTAGATGATTGTCCGCACAATCAATAAATTTTAGTGTTATTAAATTTTAAATATAAGTTATTAAATTTAATTTAAATTTTAAATAAATATCATAACTTATTTAATTTCAATAATTATCTTGACATGATGATTGAAATTCTGTTTTCATTTTTTTATTTGAGTGTAGATTTTGGATACAAAATTTACCATTAGGTAACGTAATTATGAAATCAAACACTTATTGTAATTGTGGATTAAAAGAATCTCAGCAATAGTAAGAGCATTAGAAACAATCACGGCTCATAAAACATCATCAAAATAATAATTTCCAATAAATATCATATATTAGCAACAATTTAGAATTTACAAACATGAAAGAAAAAATAATAAATTATAAAACATTACCTCTTTACTCTTTTTTAGAAATACTGATATTATGTTAAACAGATGTCAATTAATATTTATATTATTTTAGCTTTTAGCTTTGGTTTTATGTTTCTTTATATCTTTATATATTTACTAAGTTTCCTTTTTCATTATATAGATAATTTATTATCTTGGTTTTAAATATATTATTGCGATAATGTTTGTGATTCACAATCTGATTAATAACGTCTAAAATAAAAGACATGATAAATAAAGAGAATATAAATATAATATATCAATAAAAATTCTACTATCTAGATATTCACCAACTAAGAATTTTTTCATACTAACTTTTGAAGTAGTTATTTACAACTCTTTTGGAAAATCATTACGAGGAGTTATTTTGATTGTTCTATAGGCGTTTGTCTTAAAAGGTACCAACCCTTAAAATAACCTTTTTATCTACACCTAATGCCACTAAAAATAATTAATCATAATTTTGCACGTTAACTATTCTAACAAAATCTTCCTTAAAAATACAATTAATTAATTTTATTTATGGTCAACATTAATGATTGTTTAAACTACAATATATCTTAACAGTTTTATTTCTTAAAATAATAATTAATTAATTTTATCCGTAACTGATTATATATATACATTCATATAAATAATATGATATAAAATCAATATAAACTCTTTTTTCATCATTTCATAAATATTAAAACATATCAATTTTTTTCCTATCCGTAAATACATAGTCTGTTTATATTATATATACTCTATTTTCAAATATTTAAACACTGTTGTACATGAATAATATAAAATTGACATTAAAATAAATAACAATTCAACTAATTACTTATTGTGTTACTAATAAATTTATATGCACAAAATGTATGAATATACAAAACAAAATTTTATCCTGTATATAATTAATATATAATAAAAAAAGAAATAACATTCAATACAAATAATAATCTAATTCTTATATCATAATATTTATGTACAATAAACAAATACCCACACAGATGTGCGGATTAAAATCTAGTTACTGAGAATACTTGAGATAACTTAGATGGAAAGTTACCAACATAATGTTCATAAAAAACTTAAGAATAAAATTCAAATAATAATTTTAACACCAAATTTTACTGTTTTATCTTAGTTTTAATATTTCCTTATGTTTTTAGATTTTTAATAAGTTTTTATTTGTCGTTTCTGGATTATGTACTATTGTTTTAATATATTGTTGTGATAATGTTATGTTTTCCAAGATCAAATTTAGTTAATGTTAGTCAAATATAAATGAAAGTTAAATATATTATAGTCAGGAATATGATTATTTAATATTCAAAGTATACAAAATATTCAGAATAAGAATAAATTGATATTCTTACATCATATATATTTCATTGATCTTTTAATTTTAACAAATTTATCACTTATTACATTAATTGGAATATACAATTTAACGTTCATAAAATCTATTTGTGTAATATATAATTAACTATAACTTAATTGAAGTCTTCTTTTTGTGATGAGATCACGAAAGGTGAAAATTATCACGAGGAAGATTTTGATTATTTTATAGGACTTTATTTTAAGCGGTAAGAGATTAGTTCTATGTTATGTGGTAGAATCAACAGTGGTAAATTTACTCAGAATTGTTTTTAAAGATAATTTAGAAATTACTAAAAGAATGTTCATCAACAAAAGCATAAATCCTGAAAAAAATAATTGATTAACATCAACTCGTATAGTTAAACCAAATCGATAAAAATACTATACTTCAACGGTATCTAAATAGCAATTTCGTCGAAACATTTTTTTGCATTTTACATCTATTATCAAATTACAACACCTTAACCTTAATATTGTAATTATTTTTAATCAGATCAATATTTTAAATAATAAACAGAGAATCTGATCATAATATAAGCCCCTAAAATCACAATAGAAAAGTTGGCTATAATATAAACCTTTCAATCATAAAGTAAATATAAGATAAATCTTATTATCACATTATCACTACATTTGTTAATATCCATTATGTAATTATTTATAACAAATATTATGGTAAATATAAATAATAAGATATAGTTTTAAATAATAATAATATTACTGAAAATAATTACTCATCCTAAAATTAGGGAGAAAAAGAAAAATTAGCAAAATCATTTCTCAAATAATAGTGTAGACAAATAGATAGATTAAGAAAGTAAATACAGTTAACTAAGACTATAGCAAATAATCCTTAAATATATATAATAAATATGAGAAACACTTTACCAATAAAAACAATGTACATATAGTACGTATCTAGTCTAAAACAAAGAGAAAACAGTAAAAAAAAAACCCATTAAATTAACTTTCAAATTATAGTACAAAAATCCCAAACTCTTGTTTGAACCAAAAAATACCATAACTTTCAAATATTGACTATTTTAACTCTATTTTTTATTGATTCGGCCATTTTAGAAATCCAGAAAGTTAACTATTAAATCCGTAAACCTCTAACTCGCTAAACGACGTCATTTCAAAAACTGATTAAACATTAATGAAACGATATGTTATGCATCTATAAATACTTAAATCATCTCCTATTTCGCGAAACCATAGTCCCTAACTAAAAACCCTAGATTTTCTAGTTCTGTACTCTCTAAAACCCAGAGCCATTGACAACGTATATGATGGATAGGACTATGGGGTTACTTTGGTTTTGTTCTACTGAGAGACCTGAAATGGAAAGTGTTAAGGAAGCTAGAGACGTTATGACTGAACAACTGAAACAAGTCGATGAAGAATGTGATAATAAGACTGTTAAGAATGATAATGAGGCTAAGTATAATGATACTGGTGTCAAAGAAGAAGTTTTAATTAGTTTTTAAAACGATATCGTTTAACAACTTAACAAACATTTACTTATTTAACAGTTGACTTTTTTGGGTTTCTAAAATAGCCGAGTTAACAAAAAATGAAAGTTAAAAATGACAATATTTAAAAATTAAGGTGTTTTTTGCTCAAACATGGATGTTTTTTTACTTTCATTTGAGGTTTTTTTTCCGTTTTCTCCCAAAACAAATGTAGTAATTAAGATCTCAATTCGTAAGTAAAAAGAATCTAAACCCTTTAGCAAAAAGAAGAGAAGTAAGTTAGCCAAAAATAAAGAAGTAAAAAGAATCCATAAACAAAGTTATATTTTCTCACGACAAGGATTACTCTTACGTTGGACAAATAACTAAGTAAATATTTGATAGCAACATAAAGAACAGTTATATGTTAGTAATATTACATGTACCTTTAGATTGACTATTAGTTAAGTATGTATTTATCTTGTAAGAAATGCACAGGTTTCTCGTCAACATACATTTCTTGTGTGTATATATATAGCAGCTCAAATGCAGGAGGAAGACACAGCTCATCACGAAAAAGAAAAAAAAACAAATCTTAACTAGTTATAAAGAGAGCGAGAGAAATCGAAGATGAATACCACGAAGTTTGTTGTGCTTTTGATCTTTGTTGGAGTTGTGTGTGCCAATGTTGGCGCAAGGCAGCTCGAAGAAGTATCCAAAGAGACAAAGTTAGGCATTTCTATTCCCAAAACTGTCACTACCAACGGCTTTGGAGCTGAGCGTGGCTCCGTTACTGCTACAACCTATGCCAGAAATTCCGAAGATTCCAACGCTGATGCTGCTGCTGGTCCAGGCGGTCCAAGCGCAAGCGGATCTGGAAGTGTCTATAAAAGTACTTATGGATCTGTCACTGCAGAAGGTCCCAACGCAAGTGCTAATTCTGGAAGTTACGCTTCTGGTAACAGCGGTGCTAGTGCTGCAGCGGGTCCCAATGGTGCTGTGGGCATTGGTTACGCTAACGGATATGCAGACAGCTACTCTTATGGCGCCACACCCCTAATAACTCTTGAGCGATTGGTGATCATGTTCAAGTCTCTGCGTATATTAAAAAAAATTACTTCTACAAACCCCATCACAATCTCTTTTGTATTCATAAATAAAACCAGAGATTGTCACCTTTATCAATTATGATATAGTGTACATGGTATTTATGTGTATTGTGTGATTTAAATAAAGTAAATACGACCTAATAAATCTCTTTGAGTAATATATAATCATAATTAAGTATGTGTTTTTCATGGTTACGATGGGGAAATATACGACCTTGTTTCGTGTCACATCCCTGCATCTAAATGATATATAGAGTTGGAGAACATATGTTCTTTAATGTCTCCAATTGGGTTTGGCACATCTGTTTTTCAGGTGTATCTACAGCTCTGACTTTCCTAAGATATCTATATACGACTAAGCTGGCTCAAGAATCATTCTTTCGCGTGATCAGCTCTGAAACTCATTTTTCATCGCCTGTTTCATATATAAAAGGAATAAGAACACTCCCAGACTCCATGTTACAAGGGAATTATAAAAAGAATCAAAATATATGCAGTCTTATATTTTATAATGAATTTTATATATACAAATTAACTGAAAAGTTTTTGATCATCTATCTTCTAATAATTTACTATGTAACTACATTAGTTTTACATGTTATTATAAATAAGTTCTGTAATTTTACGATGGCAAGGGCGCTCTTTCCGCTTTAGTATAAGCTTCCCACTTTTGTATTGTCGATTTTATATTTTATTAAAAATCCAAAGGGCAATAAAAAGAAGCCCAAACACGCAACACATGACTAAGCACACGTGTAGTTCAGCGAATTTAGGTTCAGCTATATGTGGTTAGAGAAGAGAAGACCATGCAAATCTCAAACAGTCGTGCCCCTCAGCCGGTTGACTTTCGTACATGACACTTATATTGGAGAGTGGAGAAGGATTGCACTTCTCAACACGGCTATCAAATACAGAAGCTCTGTCAAGTCAAGAGACATACGTACGTTATGACTAACAGGATGTCAGGATCATGGCCTCTTGGGCCAAAGAATCTAAGAGTGATTCACTGCTTCAGAGGAGTATGCTGGCCGAAGAGGCAAAAGACTATTGCTTTGGCAAGATCAGGTCTGAAACTCATGTTCCATCTCCTGTTTTTTTTTTCTTCCCCATCTTCTGTTTCAATCTTTCTTTTTTTTTTATCGACAAACTCATAATCTCAAACTAAGTGTTAGACGTAAAAGGATTACTCAAAAGAAGGTGAATGTAGTAAGATTCTAACGGAGAGAAAATAACGTTCGTATATTTGCAGTGTTGTTAAGTTAACAGTACTTGTAACTTCTATTTTTTGATAAAACAGTACTTGTAATTACTTTGAGGTGTTTATGAGCCTGTTTGTTTTACCATCCAAATGACTCATCTGGATGGAGATGAGAATTTCGTTTGTTTAGATACTTAAAGTACAACTCATCTAAATGGATCATCCAGATGACATTAAAATTTTAGGCTTAATTTTTAAATCCATCTGGATGGACCAATTTGAACCATCTGGAGGGAGATGGTTCTTCCAAAATTATATAATGTTTATTATATGCTTTTATATAATTCATAAATTACAAACCTAAATATATTATTATTTTGTAACTTACATGATAAAACCACATTTTCTCAAATGACAAAACCGCATTTTCCGCCAAAACCGTAAAAACACGTTTTTCCGCAAAAACTGCAAAAACGCGTTTTTCCGCCAAAATCGCAATAATGGATTTCATGCCAAGACCGCAAAAATATGTTTTTCCGCCACAACCGTGAAAACGTTTTTTTCCCAGCTAAAACCGCAAAATGTGTTTCCCGCAAAAACGCATTTTCCCGCCAAAATCTTAAAAACACGTTTTCTCGCTAAAACTGCAAAAACTCATTTTCCCGCCAAAACCGCAAAACACGTTTTCCTACCAAAACTGCAGAAGCCTGTTTTTCCACCAAGCCGCATTTTTCCGCTAAAATCGCAAAAACGCGTTTCCCATCAAAACCGCAAAATACGTTTTTCTGCCAAAACCGCAAAAACACGTTTTTCCACAAAAACGCGTTCCGAAAAAATGCATTTTCAGCTAAAATCGTAAAAACGTGTTTTCCGGCTATAACCGCAAAAACGCATTTTCCCATCAAAACCGCAAAAATGCGTTTTCCAACCAAAACATGTTTTTCGCCAAAACCACAAAGCCCTGTTTTTCTTCTCGTAAAAACCTGTTTTTCCGTCATATCCGCAAAAATGCGTTTCCGCGTCAAAATTATAAAAGTTAATGTATTTAAAATTAATATTATACATATGACTAAATCAAAACAAGGGTATTTTAGTAATTTCTTTACCAAACTCATCTAGATGGAGAAGAAAAACAAACATGAGTTCATCTAGATGATCCTTCTAGATGGACCATCTGGATGGACAAACAAATAATTTAAAAAATGTGGTCTATATGTGGATGGACCATCTAGATGAATCATCTAGATGGATTAGATGGATGGAGATAATAGATGGTGAAACAAACAACACCTATGAGTTTGAGATTGTAGACGACACTTTTTCAAGGTTGGAGCAACCAAAATCCTATATTAACCATGAAAAGATTGGTCCTCAAACAACACCTATGAGTTTGAGATTGTAGACGACACTTTTTCAAGGTTGGAGTAACCAAAATCCTATATTAACCATGAAAAGATTGGTCCTCTTCTCCAGATTCATGCCTACCGGATCACCCCATCCAGTAACCATAATAACTACACTACATGAGAGGTTCTTAAAGGAGTTAAGCTGACAAGGAGCTCAAAGAATCCTTTGTCATTGTGGAGCTTATCTATCTAAAATATCTATCAAGATTAGTTTCTCCATAATGAATATAAGTTCAGCGTCACGTGTCGTCCAGGAACAAGTGAAGTAGACGAAATCACTGCATTTATAAACCAAAGTTTTATTTTATTTTTAAATTTAATTTATCCAAACTAAACCTTAACCGTGTCCATATATATTTAATACAAATATACATATATATTTAATACGTACCACCCTCTCCTCAATTGACCTAGCCGCAAAAGTCATGGTGATCTCCTCTGCTCCATCTTGTTCTTCAACTCTCTCCCATCATGTATTCATTCATATATTTCTTCTTCTTGTTGTTCTTATTATATGTCTTTCTTCACTCTTCTCAGGTTCGTGCTTTTGATGTCTGATCTGAGACGTAACCACGTTACTGAGGTGAATCAACAAACACCACCTAAGTAGACAGTATTAATGTTTTCTCTGGCGATAGTTCACCGGGATGGCGTGAAACTAAGTTTTTTTCTCCTTCTACTTCGTCAAGCAACCAGCTTACAATGGTCCCAACATCAAATCCAAGATAAATGAGGCGGATTCCGAGATTTATCACTGCAATAAAAGAGAATTGATATCTCCAATACTCAGAAATCCCAAAGGGTCAGCTTTTTTCTCTTAAAGATCCGTTTTTGTTTTGTTTAATGATTACATACCTGAGTTTTGATTTTTGGGTTCTCGTTGTAGGCTGAGATTTTGTGGAGAGCTTGGTTGTTAAATCGTAAGGATGTGAAGTGGTTTTCAGGGAGTTTGCCAAATGGCAAGGATGGAATGCTTTGGAATAATATTTTTTTCCTAGCTAAAAGGGAGGTTGGACTAAAATTTATTTAAATTCATTGTAATAATGACACGTTAGCAAAGAGGTGTGATATGGAATTGACATATCAGAAATTTATTTTTTAATTAATACAATAATCAGATTACATTTCAAAAAAAAAGTTTAAATAATATATAGGGGATAGTAACAGTTGCGTTTCAAATCCTTTAAATATTGATGAATCGTTTAACATATACGATAAAGTAACTTCGTGCAACTTTTAGAATAATTCATGTGTAACATCTGTTGCAAGAGAGAAATAAAGGATGCTTGGAAATTAATCCTCAACTAAGTGCTTGTGAAGAATGATTCAGAATATTGATTAGTTGAGGAGAACCAAATTTTAGGTGGATTAAATCATGAACGTTTTTAAAAACTCAGCTAAACAACAATAAACTTGTTGACAAAAACAACAACAACAACAACAATAAATTGAAACCCAAACCCAAGACCCTAATCAGATTTGGAAGGATCGTAGATTTGACCAACAAATAAAACAGTTCCGGTTCTGTCTTCTCTAATCAAGAAAAGAAATGGGTGATCTGCCACGAAATCTATCATCTTTGGCATCATCGAGGGGGAGCCCACGCGCATGGCAGTTGCAGCTGCAGCTTCAGTACCTACTTCATCGATCTCAATGAAGGCTTTTTGGTACAATGACACATTAAGCTCAAAATCATCAAAAGCCTTTGAAGCTTCAAACCCAAATTTGATCTTAAATTTTGGAATTCTGAATTTACCAACTCGATCTTTGTATATCGGAATGTGAGAGTCCAAGAATCCATGAGTAGATGTTAATCTCTTCAAAAGATTATCCAATCCATTTCTTTTGTCAGGTAGATAAAAGTACATTGAGAATTTGCGGTCGGCATCATCACGGCCTTGCTGATAAGGGAGCCTGAGAACCTTGAAACCATCATAAGCCTTTACATATTGGTCCTTATAGTTGCTCATGAAAGCCACAGAGACTGATTCTCCGTTGAGAAGGTAGAATGGTTTGTTTTTAGTCAGATACTTCTCGAACTTCTCTTTCCAAGCTCCTTTAAAATACAATGCATTTCCATATATCCAGTTGGTTAAGCTTGTAACGGATCCTTGAGGAAGTAGATCTTGGATGAGATCATTTGTGTGACGTGAAGCCCACGCATTCACCTCCTTACGCACTATTTCCGCCTTCAAAACAGCAAAATCATCTATCAACAACAACCAAAAAATGTATATAGCTATAAAATTATCAAAATCAAACAAAACAAAAAATTATGTTTGATAAATTAATTTTTTTTTTTTTGAAAAAAGATAATTAATTTTTTTTGGTTTGAAGCTTCAAACATAATTTTTTGGGATTCTGTTTCAACCGGACGGAGATTATGTTCCAGTGGTAAACCCACCGAGATTATGTTTCAGAAATACTGAAAACCCTAGAAAATCACAAAAATAATTAAAAGTTGAAGTACCTTGGTACTGAAGTCAACTTGAGCGAACTCAGCTTTGAAGGAGTTTACTAAGAGATCATTCCACGAGGAATCAACCGAGAGTGATTGATCTATCCAGACTCCATTAACCGCTGCGATTTTAGGACCACCGCTCGCACTGCCGTCTGCAAGAACCACAGAACAGATCTCACCGAAGACAGCGTTGAGCTCGTCGGTTGAGGAAGACCTAAGAAAGGAGAGGATGAAGGATCTTAGTGTTTCTTCTTCTTCGGGCCTATTAGCCGCCATGATGAGCACGGCGTTTAT